ATGTGAATCTGTTTGCCAACAATGCGTGCTGAGGATGGCTGGGTCCCACTCTTGGATATTGGTACCCACTACATCGGTGTCGGCGACCTAAACCACTTGAGAATCATCACCTACACTGATTGGATTGATTTCAACAGTGCGATTCAGTGTCCTGAAAGAACAAGAGGATGCAATACACTGTAAAAGTTGGAGGCTGTTGTGGGATTTTTGTGCTTATCGGGGGTGATCATGTACTGTTTTCACCTTTTCCCGTTCCCGTGAATTGTGATGTAGTAGTTACGGTTAATAACAATCCCTGACAGTGAAAGATGAATTGCATGTGTATATATACGTGTATGGGTAGATGATTATACTCAAAGAGCAAAAATTCACCACTGCTTGCCAATCACGAAGAAGGAACAAAACAAATGTTTGAGAAAAACCCATTATGCAATCATTCAATTACCAATCAGATAGTACATGCACTGGCTGAAATACACTCTTGTTTCTTCAAGCCACAATCACTGTAACGTTCACACCGACCAACTCCGTCCCCTTCACCTATTTTAGTTCTGTCCTGTGGCCAAACCAGTTCACCCCACTTGAATTTGCTTACTTTTGCTCCTTGGAAGGGATTAGGCATTTTCTTGAAGATCACAAGAGATCAGTACAGGAGACGCTCCCAGGGTCACACAAGCTTTTCTGCACAATTAATTACGAATTGCAAGGCAGCAATGCGTTGATTGTCGACGGCGCACCGTAAGCACGTTGCCATTCGATAGATGTGGATACAAACCGGGAATAAGTGTGTCCCCGTTAGTCTGATGGCTTGCCTTCATGGTTGCTGGATGGGATTATACATAGATCTCTTCCACCTACACCAGAGTGTCTGCTTTTGCGTGCCGTATGCCGCCTCATCTACAGTTTATCGGCGATTTGTTTTATCCACCAGTAGATCGGCATGCCGGGATGCGGTCATGGAAACAGATCTTTATATCTTGAAATCACGAATGAGTGTTGGTTAACTTATAGGGACTACACAGGTAAAATATGTCCCAAGGGGTATGAAAGTTTACCACCTTAGGGGTGCCACTTTAATCAGTCAACTAAACAGATTTACACATACAGATGAATTCCTGGATTAGTAGGTTTTCATTATTCTTAGCCACACAACATCACAAAGCACAACATACTGCCAGGAAAACAAAGCTCCACACTCAACGGATCGACCGCACCATTCCCTTAGGAAAGCAGATCTTAGCTCGTCCAAACGGAAATAAAATACCAAAAAAAGACAATTCTCAAATGACTGAAGTTCCAGTTGACAGTTTGACCTTCTGCTAAGTGGAGCGAATTTTAAGCCACCCGGGTCAATAAATACGTGTTTCATTACCTTACATTCTAACTACAAAATCCTGCATTGCAGTAATACAGTACGAATTTATTCACAACGTAAAAAATACTCAACCGTCTTTGTATATTATCTCAGGCTGTTTACACTCCACCTCGGTCGAGGTACACAATATCAGTTTGCATTGGTTATAACGGTACCAAATGACTTCGATCATCTGCTTTTATTGGTGCTATTGCGCTAAGACTAGCCCGAACACAATCCTGTGTGTGTCCCGGTGTACACGGTTGTGCACAAGTGGATGGGGCAAGTAAGACAAAAGATCACGAGAATGAGCAATAAAACATATAGGAATTTCCCACCGCGAAGTTATTTCAAACAAATCACACAATTTGGGGCGTAGTAACAGTCATGTCAAACCCCATCGTCTGCC